ATGAAGATGCTACAATATGCACTGGAACTGAAAGGAAATCGTATGCCAAACATCCACGGAGGAATCTCCTTCTGATGTTGCTCGACCATTCTTTCAATTGACAACTGATAACCATCAGAAGATGTTCATGCACTGCATGATGTACGAGATCTCCAAATAGGTTCGTTGTTCTGGAAATGCGTAGGGGTACCTGGCATAAGTAGGATATGACCCTCCTAGTCGGGTTATACCGTACCCTCATATAAATCCCTCCTGCTACCGCAGTCAGAATTTATATTCAGCCGGTATGACCCTCTGACTCGGGTTATATCCTCTACGTAATGATATTGTACGATTCTGATTGCGTACGCTCTTGGTGGCCATATTTCATCGTCACGCAGCTCCCCACAAAGTACAAATTGTAGTAAAAGCAATTACGTACTATTACGTATAGTAATATGCAGACACATACAACTAGTAGTCACACAAAGTATCTACAATAAGCACACGTACTAGTAGTACATAAGCAGGCTATCTTTATCCTTTTACGCTTGGTCTGATTACCTGCATACATGACTTACACGGCATGGTTACTTGCACCAGTAACAATGTACATAATTCCACACTGCCTTTATCATCAACACCAGTTCCTGTTAACGCGTAACATCTCAGGCTTTGTAGCAGGGAGTAGCACAATACCACTGTATCATTGTGCTACTCCTTGCTTGACACAGACATGCGTCATAGTGACATTTGCGAATAGCTAGTTGTGTCAGCAGTATAAAATTTATTTTATTTTGTGTTTCACTCAGACGACTATAGCATCTGGATTCGGAATAGTCTTACTATCTTGAGACGGGTCAGCCATACGGGTCAGCCATACCTGAAACATGTCGTTCATTGTGACTAAAACTTGCGTCAACATTATCTATTCCCCTAGAAACGACGTGAATAACTAAAAGTAATACAAATTAAATTAGGAAGAAAAATTCACTCTTACAAGCCGCCCACGTAAATACTGGACACACTGAAGGTACCCATGCGAAGGCCAGCTGCTACTTGATATCCTTCGTAGGATTCATCCTCATCACTCAGCAAAGACTGATGGATTCCTTCCCTTCATCGTCAAAACAAACTTCAAAAAGTACTGCTCGAAAACTTCCTGACAGCATTCTGGCACTCTTGAAGTGGTTCTATGAACATTTTTGAAAAATGCTACGAAATGCAACGATAAAGGTACGCAAAGTACGACATTTCGTGACGTTTCAGGGGACACAGCGCTCCACAGAAAAGTGACCTGAGGCAAAGCTCGCCCGCCTGGATGTGTGCCCGTGTCATCTCCCGGTATTGTACTACTCCCTGATTCAGCATCACTTGAAGGAGCTACGGGCGTTGTCTGCACCCAAAGAGCGAGATCGTATTGATCTCTTGCTCACGAGTTTCTACGTTGACGATTTGGTCTCAAATGCCTCGGAAGCCAAGGAGATGCAAGAGTTCAGCGTGCGTGTGCTTACGGATGCTGGCATGGAGTTACGCAATGGTGGGGAGAGTTGGCCGAAGTGGTGAGCATTGACATACCACGTTGGATTTGCTGCAATCTTGACACGCGGATTGCGCTTCATGCCTTCGCCGATGCCAGTGAGAAAGCGTTTGGATGTTGTTTGTATGCAGTCGTCAATGGACAGTCGCACTTGGTATTTGCCAAGGCCAAAGTGGCACCCGTGTCTCCACCCACATTGGCCCGCCTTGAGTTACAAGCAGTGTGTCTAGCGGCTCGCTACGCTGAGTTTGTGGTGAAGGAGATGCGTGTGACCGTCATGCAAGTCTATGGCTGGACTGACAGTCTCACTACCGTTAATTGGATCAGTAATCCATCGTACAAATGGAAAACATTTGTGGCTAACCGCAGTCAAGTCCAAAAGATATCGAAGAAGGTCGGCATTGTGTGGAACCATTGCCCGGGCCTTCACAACCCAGCAGATTTACCGTCGTGTGGGAGTAGTGCACAGCAGATCCGTAGTCCGTTCTGGAGGGGCGGACCAACCTGGATCACGGAGCCCAATGACTGGCCCACCGCATCCTCAACCGCAGCTACAGATGAGTCCAGTGTAGAAGTACGAGTGTCAGCCACCACCTGTAGTCGACAATCTGATAAGGAATGGTGGCTCCGATTCAGTAAACGGTCGAGGGCACAGGGCATGGTGACTCGGATGTTGCAGTGGAAGCACACTGAGCGTCGTGCTGAACTCTATTTTGCAGCAGACAACGTATTGTACCGTATCGTTCAAGCCGCATGTTTCGCTGAGGATCTTGAGCTGATCAAGCAAGGTCAACCAGTGAAGCCTTGGTCGAAGGTGTATCAGCTTGCACCGTTTCTGGGTGAGCATGGAGTGCTCAGAGCCGAGGGACGACTTCAGCACAGCGAGTTGGCGTATGGAGCCAAGCACCCAGTCCTGTTAGGCAAACATCATCTGACCGAGTTGCTGCTGGAGAAAATGCATGTTGAAAGGATGCACCAAGGTGTAGAAGGAGTCTTGTCGTTCATCCGTCAGAAATTCTAGATTATCGGTGGTCGACGAGCGCTACGTAACATTACTCAGCGATGTGTTACATGCCGCCGCTACAAGGCTAAGGCTGCCTCAGAAGTCTCCCCGCCACTGCCAGAAGACCGAGTTGTTCACGAGAGGCCGTTCGCAACTACCGGCATCGACTATTCTGGTCCGTTGTACGTGCGCCGTGGTGAGTCATCTCCGAAGGTATGGATAGCATTGTTTGTGTGTGCCACCACCAGAGCAGTTCACTTGGAGGTGGTCGATAGTTTAAGTACTGAGTCATTCTTGATAGCATTTCGGAAGTTTGTCGCGAGACGTAGTTTGCCGTCTCGGATCAGGTCGGACAACGCTACAACGTTCAAGGCGGCATCTGACAAACTGAATGTGCCATGGATGTTCAATCCTCCAGCTGCACCATGGCATGGAGGCTTCTATGAGCGAATGGTTGGTACAGTGAAGAGTGCCTTGAAAAAGGTAATGGGAACAGCGTTTCTGAAGGTCCAGGAGCTGGAGACCCTCTTGTATGAGGTTGAAGCAGTGGTGAATAGTCGTCCGCTAACTTATTTCTCTGATAGCCTGGATGAGCCACCAGTAACCCCTGCAATGATGATGGGTAACATCTGGATGTCGTCAGAGAAGCCAGCAGGTACCCTGGACGCTGCGCAGATGTCATCGAGATTGCGTTACCTCAGTCGGACACTGGAGCATGTCAAGAATCGTTGGGAGGTGGAGTACCTAAGTCAGCTGAACAAGCACCAACAGACCATGTCGCGCCCTTTAGCTGTGGGTGATGTTGTCTTTGTTCTCGATGATACCAAGCGCAAACAGTTCTGGCGTTTGGGACGGATCATCGAGTTATTCCCTGGTCGAGATGGTAAGCGTCGTGTTGCCAAGGTTAAGTTGAGTACCAGTACCCTGTTGAGGCCGATCCAAAGGTTAGTGCCATTAGAAATATCGTCACAGGACGTGGCTCCTGGGCTTGCCAATACCGCTCAACCTGCTATCGTCCCTCAGCAGCCAGCGTATGAACCGTCAGCACCGTTACCACCACCACTGCAGCAGGAGATGACGCGTTCTGGGCGCACAGTCAGAGCCCCGGATCGTTTTTGACTTGTGTGCATTGTTGTACGGCGGTGAGAAGCCCTTTGGTGGGGAGAATGTTGCAAACCACCAGTTCTCAATTGGGAAAGGCCTTCGCGCTTATGGCATTGTATTCGTTGCAATGTTGTATTTCGACTCCGCCGTATCGCTGATGTTGCTGCATGGCACACGCTATATGCGCTGTGTGCGTTTTTGCTGTATACGCTTGTATGTCCAGTTTTATATGCGTATGTTAACTATGTTTTGCATGTACGCTGTTTTTGCATGCTATAAATAGCTGGTGTTATTAGTGTTCATTGTTAATTATTCGATGAAGTGAAATATACTGTGTAAAGGAAAAGAGTTGTCCTCGTGCCGTGTGGTCGTACGATCCTGACAATTTAGAGAATCTTAGAGGGTTCACAACAACCGTCTTGATGACGGCAAAAAAAGCATAGGGATGTTATAAATTTTTCAATTCTCCTTTTTTTTTCAGGCATATCCTGGGATTCGAACCCGCACTATCGCCCTACATGCATTCCCCCATACACTTCGCATTCATACTCATTCTTCCAAGTTGCTTCACGTTATGATCTTGCGTTTGAAAGCCCTATTTGAATATTGCGGCCAGCTGTATGTGGCCAGCTGTGTTTGATTGTACGGTACGGGACAGATACGGGATAACGCCAGGCGTGACGCAAACAAACAAACAAACACACAAATACCAAATTAAAGCTGTGTGGACCCTGGCTAGCGCCAGACGTTACTGAAGTAACGTATTCTGCATAGCTACGGGAATTAAAGCTGTGTGGACCCTGGCTAGCGCCAGACGTTACTGAAGTATCGTCTTCTGTTTAGGTACGGGAATAAACAGAACTGGCTGAAGCATCATTTCACGAACGTTACATTGAGATGGCATGAAGAGATTCTAGAGAAAGTGGCCACGGACAAAATTCTTCGTGACATGGTGCTTCAGCTGGTACCGTAAAAATCCGTAAATAGGTTCGTATTTACTTTCGAATTTAGGGACCCCACCCGTACTAACTTTCAGTCGGGTGCTGACTTTCGGGCACGAACTAACTTTCGGTAGGGGTGAAACGAATATACCGAGCATTCGAATATTCGCAGGTGGTCCTTAGTTAGAGGTTTGCACCACGCAACCATGATGCTGTATAATTATGAATGTGACGCTGTCCGTGCGTGGCGAAGTGGCCTGTGGTAGCAGGCTGGTCGCTAGCCAGGATGGTCTTTAGTTACAGGTTTTACTGTAGGTCTGAAAGAACAAGAACATGTAACAACACCAGTATGATAACACAAGCCATGATACGATATTAAATTAAAATATGCTTTGGCAAAATGTCATCGAGGCAGGGAAGCACTAAACCTTACGTTGGCACAACCCGCTGTCAGCTCTATAGTAGGGCAAAGTACATTCACACGACTCGTCCTGGGAGCAGTGTTCATTCTGGCCACAACTAGATGCGCATCCAGTATATCCTGCAACAGGAGAGCAGAGAGAGAGAGAGAGAGTGCAGCAGAGTTTAGTTCGACCCGCGCCTTAAAGTGCCGCGAGAGCGCCCCGTTTTGTGGTGTCCCACCTATAGCGGTTGAATGCAGATGATTTAATGGCGGATTTTATAATGGGGGCTAAATGAATTCTCGACTGGGTGCAAAACATGCAAGGTGAGTAGCTAGTGCCAGGGGAAGGGGGTGCAGTGATGTGCAACGAGTCCGTGACTTCACCACATATTGATGATGCAATTGCATATCCTCTATTGTTCAAAGAACACATACCTTGCGCACGCACGCGCACGCATGCACACACACACGCGCACCCGGTGTGACCTTAAAACACTAGGGTTCTCACATCGCACAAAACACAGTTAGTTGAGCTCAGCCATACCGCTTTCCATCCCCTGAATGTAAAGCCAAGGTGGGGCACTCTAGCCAGACGGTACACTGTCGTCGACGTACCTTATAATGTGTTTGAACGACACTGGTCCCTTATAATCCGGCACCATTTGTGCTGGATTAGCGAGTGTGCAGGATAAACAAATCTGATTTACTGCTGCAATTTGCACGAAGAAGCCATTTTTGGGCTAATTCATTTTGGTATTGGTGAAACGAGTGCCAAAATTGGGGACTCGAGTACTCCTGGAAAAAAGGAGCGAGTATTTGAGCAAGTACTAGTATTTTACTGACAACGAAAAAACAATGCACTGCACGCACTCTCGCCACACCCAACGTCGTACACCCGATACACATGTAGTCTTGCATGCAGCATGGTGCAGGAAATAGTCTGATCTACTGTCTTTTGCTGGTATGTAGGGACAAGCAATAATTCTGCGCTTGTATGGACCATCAGTACCAGTCAGAGTAACAGAAATGCTTGATGTACATGCATATATCATCATCACAAGCCCATAGCCCTAAGGCCGTCGGGGCGTCACAAGCGAGCGCCATAAAAATAGATCGAGTGCAGCAGGGAGCAGGGACTGCACGTCAAGTACAGTCCATGAAATAATATTGTCAAGCCGTGACATTCTGGGCCTGCCTCGGCCACGAGCTCCAGCAACACAACCCTGAAGAACAGTCAATGACAAGCAGCCGGAACGAACAATATGACCAAAAACATGCAATTTCCTATTACGAACAGAAACAATAAGTGGGACTTGTTTGTGAATACTATTTATTTCCTCTCTACCAGACACCTTTGTGCGGTGATCAATAGCTTCTCATTTCGAAAGCCTCGATCTTTTTCACAATTTCAGCAGTTAAGGTCCAAGACTGGCAAGCATAAAGGAATATGGATAAAACAATAGCATCGAGTAGACGTAATTGCGAGCTGATAATGATGTTTCTATAATCCAGATTGTTACTAGCATACAATACACTGTATATAGGATACTTTTTTAAAAGTATTTTGCGAAACGAGTACTGGCTCGTTTCAAATTTGCGAGCGAGCGCTCGAGTTATCGATATACTCGTTTCGCCCCTAATTATTGGCTACTGAAAATTGTGGTGATTAGAGGGTGGGGGTGCTGGTTTGTAAAGTGATGCATGAAAGAGGGACGACTGTACTGGTACAGTTCTACCGCTGTGCAGGCAAGCGTGGACCGTTTATGGCTGTGATCAGCTTGTTGCAATGCAAATGTCCCGGGCGATAGCATTCAGGGCAAGGATGTTCATACTACTCTGTACTTCGGACGTCATTATGTATTGACTTGACACGTACGGTATGCAGCACGTCTCTGTACTCCTGTCAAGTCTCGCTTTGTTCCAAAGGATGACAGGAACTACTTGCAATAGTGGAGTGTTTCTGGTGAACTGTTTCGCTGCTGAAATCTTCAAGTGTTGTGTGATCTTGTAGGGTCAAGTGCAAACATCTAATACCACTGTTGTACTTCAAAGAAGTATTTGTTGTATGCGATGTTGTGTGATCCGGGAAACATGAACTTTTCCTAACACATTGCTACCAAACATTTGCCTACTCATAGAATGAGCCTAGCCATCCGTTTTCCACATAAATATACGGATAGGCGAGGGAACAGGATAATCGAACACACATGCTGTATGTATGCATGCATGGTATATGCTGTAAATTGGTAACCAACGATTTTCTTCCTGATGGCGAGGGGTCCGGATAAAAGAGGACCGGATAAGCGAGGTCTGACTGCTGTGCTACAGCACTGCTGAATGAAATCCAGCCGTGGCACTCAGGTACGCGCCGGGGCGTTGCCCAGCCCTACAGTCCATTTCAAAACTATACGCGACCTAGGCAAAAACCGTTATGCCAGCATCTATACCACATAAAATCTGTGATCACTTTGTGCATACATTTCTCCAAATTAGGCGTCTGTTATCCAATCGTTTAGAAACTATAGGAGAGTAATTGTGGAGCGGTCCTGAGCAATATTCCGAAAACTATTCTCAAAAAGGTCCAGCCAAATATTTCAAAAACCCTACGCGTCTATAGTTTTGAAATGGACTGTAGACCTGCCAGCACTGGGCTGCAGAAGAAGGCGCACATTTGAGTGACATGACTGGATTTCATTGAGCAGCACTGGATGACTGCCATTTGCTGGTGCCTTGACCGGACTGTTGGCTCTGCAGGAGCTATACGCCTGAGCTCTATTCGAACATGGTTAAATCACCTGCCAGCACACATGTAGCATATAACACATAGCACTGGAGCATAGCACGCCATACTTACTTGCACAGGCAACATTATGCAAATCTTCGCGGGACGCAGTACCTTGGTCAAGGAATACCCGTCTCAGCCCGAATGGCACGGCAAACATCCTGAACCACACAAAGTCACTGATTATCGAATTCATGGCTGCCTGGACAATCATATTTTTTTCCTCCGTTCTACTTGGTATCGCTAACCCTAGCTGAGAACATAATGAAGCGGCCCTGGAAAAACTCATTGCCGGATAATTGACTGGATCAAGTATGAGAAGATTGCCTCCGTACTCTCCTGCAGAGCGACAGTACACAAACAGTAGAATGTGCACATCGTTGGTAAAGCCATGACATCGCTGGTAAAGCCATGAGTAAACTTGAAGATGGGTGATGCTTGGGTTAAAGGGTGATGCTTGGGTTAAAGCGCACCACACGTTGACTTGGACAAGTATCAGGTGAAATGTACATCAGATCTGCTCTCGGGATCAACGACGCAACAGTCCATTCACCTGAGCCAGTCTCGTTGGCTCTTGAAAGTCCAATTTTGACAGAATTGAGGCACAAAAATCCGGGTTTTGAATCCGCTTCTCCACACATTTTGCCATGGAGTACCTGTCCAAATTTTGGTAAAACCAGGCTGATGTTCTAATTCCCTGTTTCCTTTGACTTTTCTGGTATCAGATTCGGTTAGGGATAATTGCACGTTCCACGCAATGCAGGATGAACTGTTGTTTTCATGATAGCTATAAGTGCACGCACTGTGAAGCGATTAACTTTCGCGGTGCGCAAAGTTTGCGTTTTCATGAATTGGGCTGGTTCACGATGAGAAACTTTGGCGATTTTATCTCTTCATTTGGATCTGTTACAGTCTACAATCAATGTACAGAGCAGTTTGCGGCGATTTATATTCACCAATGTGTGATGGTCGCGAAAATAGTGAAATTTTATCTCTAGCGAAAGCTTCTCTCTTGACAGTACCGTAAAGTCTTGTATAACAGCCGCGGCTTCTATGACTTTCTTGGTGAAATGTTGCAGGCTTCTATATGAGACAGGCTTCTATACAAGACAGGTATCTCTATGTATGTCAACACTAAAACCAGGCTTATGTGTGATTTGATGGGCCCAAAATTGCGGCTTCTATTCGAGGGCGGCTTTTATACCAGACTTTACGGTATATGTGGTGTAACTGGAGTCCCACTAAAATAATAGGGTACCACTTTCCTATGAATGGACTGTAGCCAAAGCTCTCCACGGGCGCCAGACTTCATTTCTAGAGCAAGTAGATAGGATGTTATGATATGGAGAAGCACATTGGGAATGTACTAAAAATATGCAAACTCTACAGGATTCTATCTACGGCGTGCTAGTGTGCAAGAACAAGACCGCAAGAGTGAGCAATGGAGCGAGTACCAACATTTGTTGCTACAGCTGTACCCTTGTTAGTACGACATTGGTTACAAGACCAAACTCAGTAGCAGACAATGGTCAAAATCCACTGACACCTGAAACACGTACATTCACGTCCGGGCAGTAGATAGTACTCGTTATAAGATAAACAATCTGAAACCCTCGTTGTTGTCCACTAACGAGGGTAGTTATTTTTTTCCTATTTTCGCACACAATATTTTTTGGCTACCGTTCTGCTTTCGTTTCGAGTGAATTTTTCAAGTACAATTAGTAGTAGAATGAAGCTGAAGACACCACTGCAGCTGTACTTGTGGTTGATTAATATGGTGATTTCCTGATAAGTCCAGCGAGGACGAAATGTCGTTGCTGTTTCATCTTCTATGTGCCATGCGCTACTTGATGTACCAGCCTGCTATGTCGGATACCACCAACCATGCATCGACTAGGCGCCAGGCGCGAACTGATGGTGGTGGTGGTGAGAAGGAGAGCTCTGTGCCAGAACTTTGCAGCCTAGAGAGCGTGTGTGGGCAGGCGTGTGTTTACTGCCATATTGCCAGGTGTGTCTTTACCACCATATTTATCAACCACAACTAGTAGTAGTATAAAATATACTTTTTTCGTGCAAATTTTCGCATTTTTAATGTTTTTGTTAGATATTGTACCTCAACGGAGGGAGTGTTAGATATTGCATGCGTCTTCACTCTGTACATTGACTCTTGATTTGACGGCTGCATGCATCTCTTGTATGTATGGCTACTGTGTGTTACCGTCGGACAACATTACGATTTATTGTTACATGTACGTTCTATGTCAAGTCAACCCTGTTATGTTCCCATTCGTTTCAGTCTAGTTCTATACTTACTGCCATGACTTGTCCCGTTTATGGTTATACAGTCTTCTTCTTTTCCCGTCGTATTGCTTTCGTTTACCGGAGACTTCTACGGTATGTCTCTATTCGCCTCCACGATGTCCTTATCCTGACACTAGCATTTTCTGCGTCGCGTACGGCTGGTGGGAATATCTACCCAAGCCGTCGTGATGTAGAGGCTTCCTCATCATTACTACTTGGAGGACAGTCACGAGTTTGAGTATCTCTGATACTAATGATAATGATTCTTACTGAAGTATGAGGGGAATTGTTTCCGAGTGGAAAGACACTGAGTGTCTATGTGTAATAACTAAATGAGCTCAACGAAGAGCCAAAACGTCCTTTAGGATTCTACTACTACTAGTACGGGCAGAACCAGAGTAGGATCTCTAAAATTGGTCCTTCGAGCCGGATTCAATGGATGCGAGGTCGAGAAAGGCTGACCAGAGTGTCGCCTTCGCCAAAGCAAGAATCGCGGTTCTGAACGATATCGAAAATGGATCACCTGTAAGTGCTGTCAAACTGTCACTCGTGGAGCTGGACCTAAAAGTACATTGCTTGCTTAGTACATTGCGGGAGGATCCAGAGTTGTTCGAGGAGTATGTAGCAACACAAGAAATGTATGCAAACACAGTGGCTATGGTTAGTGAGTACATGTACGGAATTTGTTCAAACTACAACAGTTCACGTGCGAGCTCTATAAGTGGTGTACAGTACACCCGGAATGCCGATAAGGTGAAAGCATACTTAGCGAGTCTAGATAAGGACACGGATCACGCACCAGGAGCTGCAGGCCTTGTCCTGAGCGGCCATATGCAGCAAACAGACAGCACGAGTCGTGCACAGGCAGACGCACAGGTTCCCGAAACGGGCGAGAGTGCGCCGTTATGCGAACCCGCTGGTGATCAGACGGCTTTACAAGGCTATGGTCATCATCAAAAGGCAGATACGAAGGATCGGCAAGAGTATCCAAACGACGTAGAAGGTGCAACTGCAAATAGTGATACAACGTGGGCGAACGCTTTCGTGCCAGACATTGCTACGCCAGTGATTGTTCCAGAAAGCACCGAGTATATGATTGAGAATGCACAGCAGTTCAACACTGGGACAGCACCATTGGCCCACACCAACAACTCCATGGACACATTGTGGCAACCTGGCAAACAGACCCCAGAGACTGCATCGCAACCTGTGTCTAGGATGCAATCACAGCGCACACGCATGCAGTACACACACACACAGCCTTTGTATGTGTCGCAGTCTTTGTCGCAGCCCTTGCCTTCATGTATGTCACAACCGTTGTCTGCGTATCAGTACTTGTCGCTGCCTGTGTCGCAGCAGTCGCTGCCCGTGTCGCTGCAGTCGTTGCCGCCGTTGTCTGCGTCTCAGTCTTTGCCGTTGCCTGTGTCGCAGCAGTCGTTGCCTGTGTCGCAGCAGTCGCTGCCCGTGTTGCAGCAGTCGCTGCCCGTGTCGCAGCAGACGCTGCCCGTGTTGCAGCAGTCGCTGCCTGTATCGCAGCAGTCGCTGCCCGTGTCGCAGCAGTCGTTGCCGCCGTTGTATGCAGATCAGTCTCTGCCGTTGCCTGTGTCGCAGCAGTCGCTGCCCGTGTTGCAGCAGTCGCTGCCTGTGTCGCAGCAGTCGCTGCCCGTGTCGCAGCAGGCGCTGCCCGTGTTGCAGCAGTCGCTGCCTGTATCGCAGCAGTCGCTGCCCGTGTCGCAGCAGTCGTTGCCGCCATTGTCGGCAGATCAGTCTTTGCCGTTGCCTGTGTCGCAGCACTTGTTGCCGCCGTTGTACGCGTCCCAGTCGGTCTATGTGCCGAAGTCATCGCAGCCTTTGTCTACGTTGCAGCCGTCGTCTATGCCGCAGCCGTTATCACGCATGCTACCGCCGCAGCGGTTTTCCACGCCGCTACCGAGGCCCAGGCCACAGCCGTTGTCTGGGCTACAACAACAGCAGCAGCAGCGGCAACAACTACAGCAACAGCAACAGCAGCAACAGCAGCAGCGGCAACAACAACAACAACAGCAGCAGCAGCAGCAGCGTCAACAGCAACAATACCAGCAGCAGCAACCCGCGCAGACCAGTTGGTCTGGAATGACAGCCAGCTCAACATCGTCAACAGCAGCACCAACAGACGTGTACCGACACCTGAAGAAAGTGAAGATACCTACGTTTAGTGGTGATAAAACAGCATACAGAACATGGAAAGCAGCATTCTCGGTTTGCGTTGAGCAGCAAGATTTATCGCCAGAGCTGAAATTATTGCAACTACGTCAGTGTTTGACGGGCTCAGCATTGAAAGCGATAGAATCTTATGGATACTCAGCAGCAGCGTACACCGCAGCAATCAGGCGTCTAGAACAGAAGTTTGGTGGCGATAGAAGACAGACAGCAGTGCGTACAGAGGTGCTGGCGCGGCTACCAGTGATACGAATGGAACGAGCTGCCCAGGATCTGGAGAAATTCGCTGATCTTCTCCAAGTAGCTGTCATTCACCTAGAAGACGCTGGACGCAGCCAGGAACTTCAGGCTGGTGCATTCTATCAGCAGCTCCTGAAGAAACTGCCACAGTCTCTCTTGACGCAGTACTACCGCCAGATGACAGAAAGAGGTGAAGCGGAGACGGTATGCACTCTGCTGGCCTGGGCATTAAGAGAAGCGGACTACAGAACAACAGCACAGGAGACGCTCACTGGCATCACCACACAGCCTGAGGGGACCGGTACACGCAACAAACAGACCTACAGAGAACAGCCAACGGCAGCAGCATTAGCAGCCTTTACGTCCCCGGCAAGTGCCAGTTGCGTGTTCTGTGGACAGAGTCATGAGACGGCCAGGTGCTCTGTCGTTACAAACACAGAGAAGCGGAAGGACATAGTTAAGAGCAACGGAAGGTGCTTTCTGTGTCTGAAACCGAACCACATAATCCGTCACTGTCAGTCGAAGTTGAAATGCGCCAAGTGCCAACGTCGACACCACACTACCCTGTGTAACTCAACATCTGACAGGCCATCACCTGTAACACCACCCACGCCGCGCTATGAAAAGAAGCCGGCCGCTAACAACCAGTCTAGGGCAGCATTGGCTCCAAGCAAGAAGGAACCTACCAATCCATCCGCCAGCAGCGTTACCCTGTCGTCTGTCAGCGCTCTGACATCATCGAGCAAGGACAACAATATGGTTTTGCTGCAGACCGCTAAAGCTATAGTTGCACCAGGCTTACCAGTGCGAGACAACGGGATCTCTGTGAGGGTGTTGTTCGACGGAGGGAGCCAGCGCTCGTTCGTGACACGTGATGTGCAAAGGCGGCTGGACCTAAAGACAAGCAGGCAGGAATGCTTGAAAGTGAATGCCTTTGGTGAAGGCTCTGGTGGGGACAGCGGTTTGAGAGACGTGGTGAATCTGACCGTGCAGAGTACGGAGGGAGACCCCCTGCCGCTGGAGTGTGTCGTGATTGATGCAATTTGTGCACCAGTCCAGAACCAGCACCCTGCACAAGCAGTCCAGTGCTGCGGTGCGCTCCAAGGCCTCACACTGGCAGACGACAGCGACGGCACAGCCACAATCGATCTATTGATTGGAGCCGATCAGTACTGGCAATTTATGATGGGCAAGACGATCACGACGGCCGCTGGTCCGACAGCCATCCATACGCGTCTTGGCTGGGTCTTGTCTGGTCCTGCATCAGGCACAACTAGTACGACAGGTACATGCCTCGCTACTGAGGTGCACAGCTTAACGACGACAGCGCAGGTCCTTGATAAGCAGCTCCAACAATCCTGGGAGCTGGAGTCTCTTGGAATACATCCAATAACGGAGAATCAAGTCCACGCAACGCTACCTGACAACTTCCGAATCAGCAATATCGAGGAAGTCAAGAACCCGGAATTTGGTGATGTGAGAGATATACACTATGCGCCAAATCAAGCCGTTGGTGGAGAAGATAGGACCACGACAAGAGTGCGTGTTGTGTACGATGCGTCATTCCGCTCAGGCAAGGGCTCGTCGATCAACGTCTGCCTCAACGCGGGACCCCACCTGCTGGAGAAGCCCCATCTGCTTGAGAAGCCCCCCTGGTGGGGCGGGTTCTTTGAGAGAATGGTGAGATGCGTCAAGCGTTGTCTCAAGAAGATCCTACACCTTTGATTGCAATATCATAAGTATTCGTTGTTGAGCTACAATACATGCATTCGATCAGCCTTATGTACCTCAACGGAGGGAGTGTTAGATATTGTACCTCAACGGAGGGAGTGTTAGATATTGCATGCGTCTTCACTCTGTACATTGACTCTTGATTTGACGGCTGCATGCATCTCTTGTATGTATGGCTACTGTGTGTTACCGTCGGACAACATTACGATTTATTGTTACATGTACGTTCTATGTCAAGTCAACCCTGTTATGTTCCCATTCGTTTCAGTCTAGTTCTATACTTACTGCCATGACTTGTCCCGTTTATGGTTATACAGTCTTCTTCTTTTCCCGTCGTATTGCTTTCGTTTACCGGAGACTTCTACGGTATGTCTCTATTCGCCTCCACGATGTCCTTATCCTGACACTAGCATTTTCTGCGTCGCGTACGGCTGGTGGGAATATCTACCCAAGCCGTCGTGATGTAGAGGCTTCCTCATCATTACTACTTGGAGGACAGTCACGAGTTTGAGTATCTCTGATACTAATGATAATGATTCTTACTGAAGTATGAGGGGAATTGTTTCCGAGTGGAAAGACACTGAGTGTCTATGTGTAATAACTAAATGAGCTCAACGAAGAGCCAAAACGTCCTTTAGGATTCTACTACTACTAGTACGGGCAGAACCAGAGTAGGATCTCTAAAAGTTTTGGTATTTTGGTAAAAAAAACGGGTAGACCTGTTCATTGTTTTCCACACATCCTCATTACAGTGTCTGCTCTAGGATTTCAAACCAATCGGGTACACGTGTAGATCTACCTGGCACAACTCTTGCAACCGAGTCAGTACCGGGTACAAGACTCAAGTGCGGCTATTGTACATCAGGGAGCATTAGAACGCCCTGACTGGGTCCCAACCGGGTCACAATTGACCCCCGGTGTTCTTTTCCCATGCGGTCCCAACCCCAACTGGGTCGCCGAAACGGCTGACCCGGCTCTGGAGTAGGCGCTGGTTTAAAGGACCGTAGCGATGAAGCCAGTCATGGCAGATAAAGGCTAGAGTGAAGCCACCACGCCCAGACAATATGTTTTAAAAGCAGGAAGGCTTGGAAATCGCTACAATTTCCCCTGTGAAGCCGCTATGCCCGGAAAACTCGGCTTCCCAGCAGAGTCTCACTCAGACTGTGAAATTATTTATTACACCCGGACAATACGTTAATTCAGCAGGTAGGTTTGGGAATCACTACAATTTCCCCTGGTAATTACACTCAAACATCTCTTATCTGGACTACTCAGATGTTGGCAAGTCTCTGCACCTGCCACCTTCAACTTGAGTTGCTATGACAAAAAGTGCACTGTTCTCGAATTTTTCCTCAATGGCGTGCATGCACATGCTCCTTTTTAAATGTCTTGTCCTTGCCAATCTCTGCAGTTCACACATTCAAAATCGATGGATTCTTTTTTAAATCTGGGACAAGTGCAATACATGCCAACTTCATCAAAGCTTGCAGTAGTATGATGCACGGCAGGTGGGATTATCCTGACGTGCAGGAAAATCTGATATAGGGCAGTGCCCAGTTCCAAGGTGCCCGAATAAGAGATGTCCAAGGGTACTACAGTCCATTCATCGGAAACTGTCCCGCTGGCTTTTGAAAGTCGGATTTGGGTCGAATTGAGGATCAAAAACTCACTTTAAATCTCAAAAATTTGGGTTTTGGATCTGCTTCTCCATACATTTTGCCATGGCATACCTGTCCGAATTTTGTAAACCTGGCTGAATTTCTATTTCCCTGTTCTTGGACTTTTCTGGCCTCAAATGTGGCAAGGAGTAATTGCACGGGTCACACAATGCAGGATGTATTGTTGTTTTCACGATATCTACAACTACGTGAGAGAGACACCAAAAAGTTAGGGCCTGGTCAGACTGCGGCAAAATCGAAATAATCCTGGGATTATAATCCGAATCTCCATAGTAACTTGCCACCAGAGCGGCAAAAGCGAGAGTTGACGCTCCAAAAAAAAAGCTAGAACGGACCACGCTTTTCCGCTCCAAACAGGATTTGGCGCTGATACGCCATTGACGCTGATAATCACTGATTTTTTCATCTCGATATCGAGTTGCTAATTGGCCACGGACAACAACAAAACTCATAATTTTTTTTATTAAGGATGGTTGCAAGGATTGCACTGAAGGTGTTGGCGATCCCCAAGGTGAAAGAATTTGACGTCGTTCGTGGAGATTACCACTTGACGCTCGAAATGAAGTTTGAATTTTCATTCTCCTCACATGTGTAGTGTGATCGCGATTCAAATTCTGGACGCTTTTCCGTTTTCGTCAGGCAACCAACATTTGCCGCAGTCTGACCAGGCCCTTAGGGTGCCAGTTTCCAATGAATGGACTGTAGCTACTTACTGGCGCAAGCTGATTGGAATGGCTGGTAGCCAGGACTACAGCACGCGAAGGAGCCGGGAGTGTTGGAGCATGACGTTGATGTCAGACTGCAGTTGCCGCTCGTGGGCCCAGCGCATTCATCAATATCTGCAGTATAAGCATAGTTGAACCACAACTGGTGTGTTGTTACCTTCTCATCCAGGCAACCGCCGTACAGCAACGCAAACTCTTGATTGTGCGTCTCCTTCCATATCATTTCTTATATAGACAATAAACGACGAGGGTGCAGGAGGAGAAAGGAAATGCAAGACCCAAACAAAAAGGTGAAGGGAGAAGACACGAAGAAACTTCAAAGAACAAGCAATGATAAAGTGACGCCAAATCAGGATGACCATTCAGCGACCAATGCATACAGAGTACATGACTTAGACCAAGACAACCAGACCACGGACGAATCACACATGACTCTCACTCCCAGACCAAAACTAGCACTGCGCATGCACGCGTGCCTGTCACGCTCTCCAGGCCAGGATGTCAGTTGCCCCTGCTACAGTTCCGGTCTTTGGGTCGCTGCGCTTGGCTTTTGGCAACACAGACAGTGAATGGCCAGATTCCCACTTCCCAAAAAAGTCGAATACACCACGATTCAAAGCGCTAATCGCGATCATTTTTCTTTGGTGCCTCCTTTGATCTTGCCATCAAGATCTCCCGAGCAAAAGTAAGTTAGGCGGTGTTTACGTGAGGCGTTTCAACCCGGGTTGAGTTCGACCCGGGTCAGATTTGAACCCGCCATGTGCATAAATTGAATGGCGCGTTTACATGACGCAATTGCGCTTGACCCGGGTTGAAATTTCGACCCGGGTTGATTTCAACCCTCCCCCCAAGGAAATCAACCCGGGTCAAGAAAATCGTACAAACGTACTTCTGTGCGTATCTCGCGCCAGGTTTGAACTTCAACTGTCTTCAACTGTCTTCATGTAAACGCTCACCTCTTTTGTCTATCGTACAGACTTTCAACCCGGGCTGAACTCGACCTGGGTTGAAATTTCTCATGTAAACACAGCCTTAGATATCGTGATTGGACTGGGTTTTACCTGTCAAAAAGTGCGGGGGGGGGGATAAGCGACAATTGCGATGAGCCGGACCAAGTAAATGCAACCATCTGTAACAATTCTCACCCCAGTCCCAGCGAATATTTCCTGCGCTGCGTGCTCGAGAGATGGCTTCACCAGAAGAACTGTTTTTTTCCCGGATTGGGGTGGTACCCATAGTCGGGTCCCAGCTGCAATAACTTAGACCAGACCAGTAAAGGGATGTGGCTTGAAGGGTGCCAGCAGCGGAATCATCATCAGCGTACCACAGCTGGGTGGTGCTTGGACATTCGTGTGAAAGTTTGTTTATAAGAGGCATAACAGCAACAGTGTAAATGGCCATCGCAAAGGGGTCGCCCTGGCAGATCCCCTCATGGGAAAGAAATTCGCCCCCATCCGCTACGAAGAGGCGGCACGGCATCTATCAGCAGCACGGCTTCGGTTTCAGGAAGACTTTCAATAACCTTCATTATAGCTCGCCCTATAATCTCCTCCCCAACAGCTTTGGGTCTAACCCCTAGGGTTTTATCAATGGGGATCAGGCGGGCGGCAGTGAATGCCTCCATGAAACTCGGCTCGATATTCGCAGTACACAAGACGTGTGCCGAATCCGCCAATGCAATGCAATGTCGGTTGGAAGCTGGGCCGAAGCACGTTAGCATCCTGGTCCAGGCCTCCAAGTCTAATCCGGACGGACCAGCGTCGCCTTCATGGACCTGCTAACAAACTTGATGAGGCTTGGCGTGATGCGCTCGAAGAGTATTGGGTTCACCCGCTGTGAGTCGGCTGGCACCACCAATGAGCCAGGAACCGCCAGTGAAGATGACGGGTGCTTGTCATACAGTACCTCACGCACAGTCTTGTCACCACCAGCCGAGTCCTCCATCCCGAGCACTGAGCCAGGTGAGTCATCACCCACGATCCGCGCTGCAGAGTTAATCTTCCCTGTGAATACTTGTCGACTGAAGGTTGTATCATTCACTGTATCAGGCAGTTTCTGGCGACGGTTTCCAGCGGGTAGGTGTGCTTGAATACATCTTGCTTCGTCCAGGAAGTCCTCAAACCTGCCACATGACCACGATTTCAAACTTCGCGCGATTTGGATTGCATTCTCAGCAGCTCGGGACTCCGGGTGAGGTCGCTGTAATAGTGTAAAATCAACATTACTCCCAACCCCACCTGCACATGTGCACACACACATATGACTTGTGTGACTTTTAAAAGAGAGCATGTCTGAGAAAACCAGAACATATGTGCAAGTAGGTCTCTCAGATTTCGCTCAAATTTTGCAGGTAGGTTTGCTTTGGGGTGTAGATCGACATTCCAAAGCCCGCACAAAACCTTTTGAAGGGAACCATGAAATTGGCATACCCCTCAATATTGGCCCAATATTGGCACGATTTATGGGTCTACAAACGAGCCACGGCACAGCGTACAAAAACAAGCTACGAACAAAACTCCATCAAGCCAACATTACCTCACCTTAGAAGACTTCTTGGGGCAGCACCACTTCGCCACGCCAGCATACCAGATGACGAGGGCAATCATCCCTTGACGCCACAAATGATCGTCTTGAAAATAGCCCAATTGCAAGCGCTGATAAAACAGCGAGCTACGTCCTCAATTAGCAAACACTATACAGCGGCAGGAGATTGGAGCGGACGACTTCACTGGTCCGAGTTCGAGGATCTCGAAATTCTCTATACGCCGTGAGGCATATGGTCAGAATAGTTTTGTTAAGACAAGCCGACGCGAAGTCGGGGTGATGTGTAACGCATGTCAAAGGGCTGCCAATGCTAACAGCTGGAGCGCTCTCTCGACAGTGAAGGTAATCGACTGCCCTCCACATCACCCCACATTTTTAGCAGAAACACCAATCTTTATTTGATTGTCGACCAGTGAAGTCGTCCGCTCCAATTTTCTGGCCCTCACCAGGCTGCGCTTCTACCAGGGGCACCTCAGGAGGTCCTTCATGTTCCTTAGAGTATGGTCGCAGTTGTAAAGCTTGGGAATGTTGACCAAACATTGTTCTTCATCACCAGAAATTCAAAGAACTAAGATCTTCAAATGCAGAGAATTTGAATACTAATCACACGTGACTTCATTAAAACCATCAAAAGAGGAGACAAACTTGGCCCTCCCTGGCTTCTTATATCGACTTTTGGGGTCTAGTTTCCGCGATTCCCCATCTCTTGGGGGCCATATAAGGCCCCCATGAAGAGAACACACAATAGAAAAAAAATCTCGGAGTGCCCCTTTAACCCTTATCCGTCCGACCAGCCAAATATATACGACTATCCTTCGATCAGTAAATCCATCATATCTCAGTCATTTCTTGACCAAATTTCACGATCGAAGGGTCTATCGCCATTTAATAGAAAACAGCGTCTCGAACAATCGCCGAAGAGCTACGACACTCCCTTGCAACGATATCGTCCGCCGAAAGTAAAATCACGGCAATTGCAATTTTTCTGCGTTCGGGAACATTTCAAAGTCAGATTTTTCTTTTTTGCATGACATGTTCTGTACACAAAAATTCAAAGTCCAGCGATGGGGGAGAGTGATATGGCAAGACAAGACGTGGCCAGGGCATGTGTGGTTTTGCAATTTTTCTGCGTTCGGGAACATTTCAAAGTCCGATTTTTCTTTTTTACATGACATGTTCTGTACACAAAAATTCAAAGTCCAGCGATGGGGGAGAGTGAAATGGCAAGACAATTTGGATTCTGCCCGCAGATCTGGCGCTGGGGCAAGTTTGGCAAGTGGGGGCGCTCGACTTGTGGCTTTATAGATGTTGAATGTGGGCTCTGTGCATTCGTCGCTGATGGACCTTTCTAAGAAGCGCAAGATCATGGAATCGGCCGATGGTGAAGTTTTGATAATTTGAAGGTAAAATATGTCGTGAAATTGCAATTTGGGCCTGCGCAGCGATTTTGATAATGCGTAAATGATCACCGGTGCACTGCAGGCAGTTATCTTGGGTATATGTCATTTCCGGTACATTCCTCGTTTGCCAAACAATATGAGCCGCCTGCTAAATTCAATATAAAAAAAAGAAAAAAGTTGTGACTGAAGACGTGGCCAGGGCATGTGTGGAAAGAACGTACCTGTACAGGAAAATCCATCTCCAGTAAATCCAGGCTTGCAAACACATGAGAATGTCCCAGTCTGATTAGTACAGTGAGCATCACTGCTGCATGTAAAATTCAGTTTTTCGCATTCATTAAGTTCTGGACAGGGGTAAACACCAAGGCATGAACAACAATGTATTATTGTGGACAGAGAGAGAGAGAGAGAGAGCGAGAGAGTTTTGGAATTTCGGAACCCCGACACAACACACTTTCTAGTTCTTCAAAAACAGTTCTAAGTTTTGAAACTGAGAGAGAGAGAGAGAGAGAGAGAGAGAGAGAGAGAGAGAGAGAGAGAGAGAGAGAGAGAGCGAGAGTGAGAGAGCGAGAGCGAGAGCGAGAACGAGAGAGGGAGAGAGAGAGAGAGAGAGAGAGAGAGAGAGAGAGAGAGAGAGAGAGAGAGAGAGAGAGAGAGAGAGAGAGAGAGAGAGAGGGAGGGAGAGAGGGAGAGAGAAAGTGAGAGAAACAGCAAGGGAGAGAGAGGGTGCGAGATAGAAAGAGAGAGAGAGAGAGGGAGAAAGAGAGAGGGAGAGAGAGAGACAGGTAGAGAGAGATATATTATATATATGTAGGCGAACAAAATTTATATACACACAACCACAAGGTTGTCAATTTCATAATACTAAAAGCTTTTCACCTATTTTCATCAGTAGTTACATGGGAATGAGCAAGAACGAAAACGAAGCCAGAATTTATACTGGGGGTAGAGAATCAGCAAGAATATTCTTACATGCCTCAAGTTCACACTACACTACCATAAGAATGTATGGAGCAGTGGAAACATGCGGGAAACAACACATGAGGGGAATGCAGTACCAGAACAAACACGTGATAAAGTTGTCAGTCCGGTTGCAGCTTGAACAGCCATAGCACCTTGATGTGCTTCTTTTGTCGACACAGTTCTGGCCTCAAACTGCGAATGTACAGCGCCTCCAGTGTGAATCGGTGCGCGCTGTTCCGGGCTGGTGTGATGACGCTGAAGCTGCTGTTGCGTTCCTGCGGGATGCATTCTGGCTGCGCCTGCAAATGCTTTGTGATGGCGCTATCACTTGTTGCCACACGTTTGTCAGGCGGCTTCTTGTACAGCTTGTCTGGGATATGCTGCTTGATCCTTTCCGAGAATCGCTGACATGTCTCACCAACGTACGTCCGCTCACAGCGACACGCATACTTATAAATAAAATTACTATTTTCAAGAGTTGGTGAAACATCCTTCGCGATAGACCTGAATGCGGGTCTGGTTGTATAAATTACAATGGGCGATACTGTAGGATAGCAGTTCAAAATTGCAGCTTTAATCTTTTTGCGGAAGGCAATGCAATTTTGCCCTTTCCACGGCAATTTTGTGATAATACGCGTTGCAGATTCAAGTTGTGCAGAAGCTGTATCTGGGCTATAGTCTGTTTCAAAAAGATTAGCAATCAGGTTTTGGTCTTAAAAAGTATGAAGATAAGGGAAAATTGGACAACGAAGTACATAAAAGGGCTGGTTAGGGCACGGCAAATTGTTCTGTGAAGGTTTCGGAACAATTGGACCAGCCGTTAAAGAGTTAGAATTTCGGCCAGGTTTCCGGCCTTTTCCCATGGTTTACAATTTGCCCTGGAAGCCAGTATCGATTTTTCTATCAAAACCCACGATTTATCTTTTCCTTTCTGGCCTTGTGGTTATGGATGCTGTCTGCTGACCATGAAGTTGCGAGTTCAAATCCCAACCTATCTTCAACTCACACTTTTTTTCATTGTTTTTTTGGTGATCAAGCAGACTTGTTGTTCACGGTTGTTGTTGTTGGAGCTCCCGCTTCCTCTCGAACTGACTGACACTTGACTGGCTCACGCCATGTGAACACACCCTCAACACTGAAACGGTGTGAGTGAATACGGAAGTCATTGCGCTGTAGCTACATGTACGTGTTGAATTTTTTTTTTAAAACTTTTTTTAAACTTTTTTTTTTTTTTTTGTACATCTAGTAGACTATGTAGTAAATTGACCAAAAAGAAACAAAGAAAAATGATGAATACACCGGCACATCGATCGATCGATTTCTTTTTGAGAATTATTTTAGTATTTTCAAGATCGCCAATTTATTTGAATTTAGAAGTCAACGCCGTCTTCTATCAGCTTCCACAGTCGTCTGCTTTTCTCAAAATGTTGTCGAAGTCATACGGATAGCTTCGCCAAGTCATGGCCTTGGGAATGAGTCTGTGTCGATGTCGTTTTCGTCACATGGTGAGAGTAAATTGCATCGCAGCTCAAAGAAACTATTTGGTCACAAAACATATTGGGACCCATGCCGCTCGTCAGCCTTGGCATTTACTACACTTTCGACATGTCCTCTCTGACTCCAGTCCATAATCGATACGAGGAAAAACTCGTTTGTTGTGAACCAGACGTACTGACATCGACCTGAGTGAGTTGTCATTTTTCATGCTTTCGCGCGGAATATTTCTTCGAGTTCACAGTGAGTTTTTGCAGGCGGCGCTCGAGCGCTCATACGGTAAGACGGCAAACTCCCCGGGCGATCACCAGGATTGCTAATCTTTTTGAAACTGACTGTAGGTTCAAGAACGCTTGTCATGACTCGCTTGAGTACTTTGAGTGGGTAACCGTTAGAACACAGAATATCCTCTAGCTTAGCAATTTCAGCTGATAATAGTGATGGTGAGCAGATGGTTTTAGCTCTAAAAGTTAATGATCTGATCAAATTGATTTTGTTTCTAGTGTCACAAAACGAGTCCCAGCGGGTGTAAAGACCTGTGAACGTCGGCTTTCTATATACTGTGGTGAGCAATTCTGTGGAAGAATGCTTAATCAATACATCAAGAAACGGCAATTCTCCATTATTCTCCTCCTCCATTGTAAACTGGAGAGCTGGGTGAAGATTATTTAAACGCTCAGAGAATTCCAATGCCAGTTTCCGGTTGTGAAATGCTGCGAATGTGTCATCCACATAACGCCTATAGAATTGGGGCCAATGACTGTCTGGAATTGTGTTCTCAAAATATCCAACAAAGATATTGGCTATATATATATATATATATAGAGAGAGAGAGAGAGCGAGAGAGAGATAGTTCGTTTCAAGGGGTCACCAATGGATGCGTCTAGTACATCTCAATTCTAAAATGCACCGGGAATCCACAGGAGAACTACTCATACTACACTGTTATTATTCATTGCAAAAGAACACCGAAAGGCCAAACCGCATGGTGAAGACTAATGGTGAATGACTACTGAAGGATTCGAAGGGTCTATCGCCATTTAATAGAAAACGCCGTCTCGAACAATCGCCGAAGAGCTACGACACTCCCTTGCAACGATATCGTCCGCCGAAAGTAAAATCACGGCAATTGCAATTTTTCTGCGTTCGGGAACATTTCAAAGTCAGATTTTTCTTTTTTACATGACATGTTCTGTACACAAAAATTCAAAGTCCAGCGATGGGGGAGAGTGAAATGGCAAGACAATTTGGATTCTGCCCGCAGATCTGGCGCTGGGGCAAGTTTGGCAAGTGGGGGCGCTCGACTTGTGGCTTTATAGATGTCGAATGTGGGCTCTGTGCATTCGTCGCTGACGGACCTTTCCAAGAAGCGCAAGATCATGGAATCGGCCAATGGTGAAGTTGTGATAATCTGAAGGTAAAATATGTCGTGAATTTGCAATTTGGGCCTGCGCAGCGATTTTGATAATGCGTAAATGATCACCGGTGCACCGCAGGCAGTCATCTTGGGTATATGTTATTTCCGGTACATTCCTCGTTTCCCAAATATGAGCCGCCTGCCAAATTCAATATAAAAAAAAGACAAAAGTTGGGACTGAAGATGTGGCCAGGGCATGTGTGGAAAGAACGTACCTGTTTGATAAGAGGAAGTGACTACTGGATTTTGTGGATGGGCGGTGTTGCATGCGAAAGTACTGATCGCGAAACTGTTTTTCATCGCCTCCAAACTACCGCTTGAATAATAATAATAATAATAATAATAATAATAATAATAATATTAACTGGTTTGAGGGAAAGAGACAAACGGGAAAAGTCTGAAGACAAAATTGACTGTCACCACCAGGACTCGAACCAGGGACCCTCGCTTGTAGCCAGCGATGCTCTAACCACTGAGCTATGGTGTAGTCGTCATCCCAGCAGAGGCCGTTCAACATTTTCTTCAGACTTCGTAATAATTTGGAAAGGATTGGGAGAACTTCATATTCAAAGGATCAGTCGGGGAAGTGAACTGCCTGAAAAGAGAAAAAAACGCCAGACCCACCAGGACTCGAACCTGGGACCCTGCTTGTCATGAGCAATGCTCTAACCACTGAGCTATGGTCCCAGGTTCGAGTCCTGGTGGGTCTGGCGTTTTTTTCTCTTTTAAGGCAGTTCACTTCCCCGACTGGTCCTTTGAATAATGATAATAATAATAATAATTTGAAACTCGGGTATTAAGCCAATAATAAAAGTAGAAGGGAAAAGGACATATGGAAACGAGTTAAGAGTAACTCTCCACCACTGTAACTAGATACTATAATTATACAGTCAGAAAGTGCAACAACTAGGCACAAAACTGACAGAGTACTGAGACATTCGACGTCCTGACACCTAGCTTCAACACATCTCCGTAGCGCTAACCGACAGCCTTCCAACTTGGAAGGTTCAAGGTTATGGAAAGACCAAAGAGGGGAAGGCAAGCGCAACGAAAACGAGCACAAGCTACAGTCCCAACGGAACAAAGAATGTCGATTGTCACTGTACGATGACGAGACCAGTAGGCGATTTGACAAAGCGGTCTAAGTACAATTCGAAGCGGCAAAGCAGCACACCACCCAACTTCCCCTCTTTGGTCTTTCCATAACCGTGAATCTTCCCAGTTGGAAGGCTGTCAGTTAGTGCTACGGAGATGTGTTGAAGCTAGGTGTCAGGACGTCGAATGTCTCAGTACTCTGTCAGTTTTGTGCCTAGCTGTTGCACTTTCTAACTGTATAGTTACAGTGGTGGAGAGTTACTCTTAACTCGTTTCCATATGTCCTTTTTCTTTCTACTACTACTACTACTACTACTACTACTACTACTACTACTACTACTACTACTACTACTACTACTACTACTACTACTACTACTAC